AGGGGTAGGCAACCTTGGCTCTTTTATGACTCGTGGACTTCGGCTCCCAGAATTCCTGAGCCAGCATGGCTCAGCTTGGAAACCTCTCCCTTTCCCCTCAGCATGGCTGGCTCAGGAATTCTGGGAGTTGAAGTCCACGAGTCATAAAAGAGCCAAGGTTGCCTAACCCTGCACTAGGGCAAAAAGGTCGTAAAATCAGGCACAACTCACGGAACAAACATCTTATTCAGCAACAGAAATTCTCGTCCCAATTGTGGTCATATGTCGAAGACTGCCTGTATCTTCTTCTGAAACCGGTCTCATTCTGATGGGGAACGTTGCCTACCTGCATCCCGGGCATTTTGCTAGCTATAAAAGGGCAAGAACCAGAGAGAGAAAAGAACCTACATGTCTCTCTTCCTAAGAGGAAGGTGCAGAGTTTTCTTTTCTGCAAAAATTGGTGATAACAATGACCACACTGACATCTCCTACCCATCAAGGGAAGAAAGTGCAATGGAAGAAATTGTGATGTAGAGGCTTGGAGACCCCCTACATCTTTCCCTGTGCTCAAGAGAGAGTCAGAGGATCCAACTAACTACATGCCTTAAATATCTGTGCCACTACAGTATACAGTGCCAATAACTACACTACACAGTTTGGACAATGTGAACTCCGTTGTTTCATCTCTTCTGAGTAACAGCCACTCAAGTTTCAGGCAGAGGTCTTTCTAAACATCTAGAATTGTTGTTTTCAGCTGGTGATTTGCATGGAGGCTATGCATATACTGTAAATCCATACTTTACTAGGGAACTATATGAATTCCTCTCCCTTTCTTCAGCCCATGCATAAATCCTGCAAAGCTCTGCCATATGGCTGCATCTTCAGGAACTTCACCCAACAAGCTACACCAAACAAAAGAAGCCCCTTAATGGATTAGCAGTCTTCAATTATAGCAATGAATTATAGGTTTAACACAATGTGTTAAATTGAATTCATTATAGTTGATTCAACAAAACATGGTTAAAATCATGGTTTAACAGAATGCAAAGAACACTTCAGTAACGTTCAGAGAATCTTGCATTGGTGTCTTTTGTTGTTCTACACAGGTTTTTGGAGAAAAAGTGTGCAGGATCTTTTCAGATTTTTTTTCAGCTATAAGGCCCAGTCTACCCCAATGATACAAATTTGGAAGCACTGTTAGAAAGGTGGGGGGTTTTTTTGCTTACACATTTCCATTTTGAGAATAGAAACCGTTTAGGATTTAGCATGACAAATCAATTCCTTACAATGGGGAAGGAAACTCTGCTAAAATCTCAAATTTAATCCATTCTATGTCCAACTGAAAAGTCTATAACATCTGATAGAAATCTGTTGGCTGCTGCATTAACAATTAATAGGTTTAACCTATTCAAGTTCAGGCTAATTTCATGTGCTGCATCTTGAACAGCTTTCCTATCAAATGCTATGATTGCTATGCCAAAGATTGAGTTTGCCTAGGTATTAACAGCCCATGTTAAAGAATCTTTCACTGAAGCTAATTATTCAAGAAGACTTTGGTCAATTTCTGAATCAATCTATTTAAGATGCAATTCATTTCTCTTCTAAACACCAGCATTTCTATTATCCCAATGAGTCTTTTTTTTAGATATTTTTGTACTGCCTTCATTATTTTTATAAATAATTCAAGGCAGTTATTTATAAAAATAACAAAGGCAGGACAAGGAAGCAGCAGATATATCTAAGATAGCATAATCTTTCCTTCTCCTATTTTCCCTAGGATAACAACCCTGTGAAATGAGTTGGGCTAAGAGAGAGAGAGAGAGAGAGAGAGAGAGAGAGAGAGAGAGAGAGAGAGAGAGAGAGAGAGAGAGAGAGAGAGAG